GCTGTGGAAGGAGGATTGCAATTTGGAGACCAACCTCAGTAAGTTAGCCAGACCCTGTCTCAAAAAAATTAAGTAGAAAGGGCTAAAGTGTAGCTCAGTGGTAAAGCATCCCTGGGTTCAGTCCCCACTGCCAGAAAGGGCAGGGGAGTGCACACGCACACAGTGGCTTCAAAATCTACAGAGGCTTAAGTCCATTATTGTAAAATAGTGCAGTATTTGCATACAACACACATACACACACACACACACACACACACACACGCCTCTGTATACTCTAGATTACTTACCATGCCTGATGTCATGTAAACACTGTGTAAATTGTTGCTATAGTGTTGTTTAGGGAATAATGACAAGAAACGGTTGCTACATGTTCAGTACAGATGCAGTTTTTTTTCCATTATTGATCCAAAGTTAGTTGAGTCCTTGGATGCAGAAACCACAGATATAAAATGCTGACTATACCCATCCTAAAAATCTAACAATTCCATTTCTTGGTGTTATAGATCAGTGACACAGCCATGCGTTTACAAGAACACTTAGTACAGCACTGTTTATACTAATGAATAAGCGGAACCATCTCCAATGTTCAACAAGAGGAGAAAGGTTAAATATGATGTGATTATATTCTGCGAAATACTATGCAGTGGTTAAAAAGACAAGTTAGTACAAGTGTACTGATAGAGCTACATGTTGTCACATAAAAAAGTAAGTTGTAGAACATGACATACCATTTAAACTATAATACCACACAGTGTGTGTGTAGTATACATGTATGTATGTGTATCTCTCTCTCTCTCTCTCTCTCTCTGTCTGTCTCTGTCTCTACACACACACACACAAATTGCACAGGAAAAAAAACATAAGATTCAGCTGAGGAGGTAAGTAGGAAAGGGGCCAGAATTAGTGACCACAGTCCAAGAAGATTTTGGATTTATCCATGTTTTCATAAAAATGGCCAATCATGATGCAGTATTTACGTATTATTTACATTGTCAGAATCTTATTAAACCTTTTAAAAAGATCAGCACACACTGTGAGAAATGTGGCGCTGGCTCCCACAGACATGTTGTGGCCCATGCTGGCTTAGCTCTGCAGGAAGCAGGGCTCTGCTCTGCCCTTCTGCCCAGTTGGGAAAGGCCTGGGATCAGTCCAGAAGAACTGGATTCTTTGGGTACTTTCTTTGCAAAGAAAAAGAAAACAACCTCAAACTGAAGTCCGCAGAAGAGAACCTCACCTTTGTTCCTGTACTTGGAGGGAAGCAGCCCCCCCACCTCCCGCCCCCCGCGCCTGGCCAGGGCAGCCACACAAGCAGGCCTGAGGCCCCGGGGCTGTCCTGGGTGTCCACAGCAGAGCTCTCTGCGCAGCCACTGCCCCTCCTCCAGTGTTGGCGGACAGTTGGTGGGTTACGGAGTCCCCATGGTAAAGTGGCTCTAGCCTTGGGAAGACGGGAGACCCTGGACCTCAGACAGTTGTGACCCACCCTGTGAGGGGCCTATTAAATACCACAGACACGTAGGTTCACCATGGAGTCCTGGGTTTGCTGGTTTGTAGGTCTGGTCTTGTTTTTGCTGGTTGATCCTGTGGTGCTGGGGACAGACTCAGGGCCTGTGCACGCCGTGTTAGTGCTGCACTACTCAGCAACTTCCAGGACCAACGTTTTAATGCAAACTTGGCAAGAAATGGTGAAAATCTTAACATCCATTTTAGAATTCCAAGGCACTCTTGCCTTTAACCTCATTGAAGAACACTCGTCCTGACCACCGAGGCTCCCTGGGCTGTGTCCTGACCACGCTGGGCTCCTGCAGTCTTGCTCTCCAACAGCCCCGCCCCACCCCCACCGGAGGCTCCAGCTTCAAGTGGGGCCATGGAGGGCGGGACAGGTGGCTTTTTAATTCCTCCCATTAGCGTCATGGGTACACTCCTCAGGATGCATCTGACCTCAGACTAAGGGCTTGTCCCTCACAAGTGACTGACTCACTCAGAGTGACAGGGTGGCCTCCTCTCTTTCCCATCAGGGCTGTAGGACAGTGCCCTGGCCTCCTGCAGGAACCTCCCACACCATGCCCTTGCCAGTCCCGGGCTTCTGTGTGAGTGGCTCCTGCCACTCCCACAGCCCTGGCCTTTCTGACCACTAGCACAACCACAGGGACCCCAGTCTCTCTTTCCGAATGTCATACCAATCTCCTTAGTCAGCAGATGGGAAAGAGTCATTTTAGTTGAGCACAACCAAGGCTCCCCAATCTTGTGGAAATTCACTCCAAGTTTTTGCTGTCACCCAGCCTGTGGCCAAGGGACAAGAGTTGCCTCCTGAGTATTGCAAATATTCTTTGTCTTGATCTGTTTCTAAAAATAAAAATTCTATGAGTTGTACACTGAAGATGTGTGCACTTAACCAGGCGGGCTTTATTCTGCAACACAATGGTTTTTCATTTTAAAAAGTCTACAGGTGCTTCCCATGAGTGAGACCAGCTAGGAGCCCAAGGCAGGAACCTCTAGTGCTGTCCCTGGGACCAGCCTCCTGGAGCACAGGGCTGGGCAGAAGTGCCCGAGAATGGATTGGGTGGGAAATAACTGGTGTGACGCTCAGGAGAAGTCCACTGAACGGGCTAGTTCATGTAAATGACGTGGGTGGGGAAGGACCTTGTCAGTGACAGGAATGAGGACCTGCTAGAAAGGCGCCTTCCCTCACAGGCGCATAGGTGGGGCAGGCAGGCCAGCCTCCTGCCCTTGGGAGCACAACGAACTCCCTGCCATCTTCTCCCTGCCCATATGCCCTCACCCTGCCCATACTCCCCCTTGAGAGCAGCAGATATGCACAGGCCTGGCCCCTCTCCAAGCATCAGGCCACCTATCTGTCTGACTGTGGGGCAGGCTCTTGAGTTTCGACAGTCGCCACTTTCACCCTAGACTTGCCCCCATCCTGGGTTTCTCATCTCCAGAAGGTATCTCTGTCTCTCCAGCCACCAAACTGAGCACACCAGCGTCCACTTTGGATGTTCTCTTTTGTCTTCCCCACGTTCTGCCCACTGTCAGTGCCCAGAGTTCCCCTGGAATCTCTCACTTGGATCACCTACAGATGCCCCCTGCCTGGTCCAGCCTCCCTGCCACCCAGAGTGATCTTCTTCTCCCATCCAGGTCTGGGTCACTGGTGCACGAGCATCCTTCATGACCGTGAACTCCACTGCTCTGGACCAGGTAGAATATACCCTCACCCCAGGCTGTGGGCACTGCCTGGGCATTCAGGTCAATCAGTGTGGATGGTTGGGGAGCTCAACAGCAGATTGAGTAATGGATGTTTTTAGGATGTCGTTTTATTTATTTCTTTATTTGCAGTGCTGAGGATTGAACCCAGGGCCTTGTGCATTTGAGGTAAGCACTCTGTCAACTGAGCTATATCCCCAGCCCCCTAGGATGTCGTTTTAACCTTGTTAGGAGTGATCGTGCCACTAGAGCTAGCTATGAGAACTTCCTTTTTTTTTTCTTTCTTCCAGAAATTCAAGTTGAAGGATCTAAAATGAAGGGATTCAAATAAAAATATAAACAACAAGCAAATATGTCAAAGTGTTAGTAGTAGGTGGATCCTGGGGCTGGGTATGAGGGTGCTCATGGATGGGTTCTTTACATATGTCTCTATATTTGAATTTCTTCACAAGAAGTTCTTTTTTAAAAGTCAAGTCAAGGGCTAGGGATGTGGCTCAAGCGGTAGCACGCTCGCCTGGCATGCGTGCGGCCTGGGTTTGATCCTCAGCACCACATACAAACAAAGATATTGTGTCCGCTGAAAACTAAAAAATAAATAAATAAATATTTAAAAAAATAATAAAATAAAAGTTGAGTCAAATTGATTGAACCCATTTTCCCATCCACCAAATTGCAGGTGTCAGTGGGAGGCACAGCGAAGGGTCTCTTCAGCCTGTATCCAGCCAGTCCAGGCCCAGAGCACTAGGCCAGAAATGCCCCTCTGTAAGCCTGGGGCCAGGGTTGTCCCAGAGAAATTGATCTGGCTTTGACATTCCTGCAAGTCACTGAGGTTGGTAACAAGGATAACCCTAAAGGGGGAGAAGCAATTGTTTCAGTAAAGCCAAACAGAGGGAAGCAGATGGGTACCGAGGTCACACGGCCACCAGCAAGAAGTAGGTTCTAGCAGTCCCTGTCCCAGGAAGTGTAAGTTTTGACTGCCCCACCTGTTAATGTGCCCAAGAGACCTGGGCTTCAATTTTGTAGAAAGAGCCCGGGGTTCCCCCACCTTCTTTGGGGGTGTGAAGCACACCTCTGCGCACTATGACACAGATACAGCGTGGAAGGGCGTGCACAGAGATCCCTCTGGGCCCTGGTCAGTTTATTCTTTCCTTCCTACTCTCAGGCTCCCTTACCTATGGCTTAAGGAAGGTCGATGGCCTTACTCCTCCATTCTGGATGCCCTTCTCACTGTCTCTTAATGCCCTGGCACACCCGTGAAGGCAACTGGCCTGGAAGAAAGCCAAGGCACTTCCAAGAACCTGTAGGACTGCGGTCCTGGATCTGCCTCAACTTCCTCACCTCTACAAAGAAACAGCTGTCTCGCTGGCTGGCTGGGAGCGCGACCTCAGGAGCTCCAGCCCTGGACGTATCCCACCACCCGGCGCAGCGCCTTGCACCCGCGACCTGGGTTTAAAATCAACATACCTGCCTTTTCACAGCCCAAGCGATGCGGCAGACACTGGCTCCCAAACCCCCAGGAGTGCAAAACCAACACAGGCTGGCAAATGACCAGCGCGAGGCCAGCGGAGTATCTGGCTTAAGGGTCCTGGGCACAAGGCTCTGCAGCCAGAGGGGCAGAAGAGGCGTGGACCCGGGCCCTGGCGCAGGATTCCGAGGCCACCGCAGACTTGATGAGCTGAAAGCCCAAAGCCAAGGGCCCAGGAGGGCCGGGGGCCAGGCGTGGCTCGGGGGCGTGGCTCGGGACTGGGCGGGGCCGCGGCAGCGCTTAAAGAGACGGGCGCGGGTCGGGCGAACTGGTGAGGACTTCGCCATGGAGACCGCTCGGGACTACGCGGGAACCCTGATCAGGCGAGTGCCACACACCCATGCGCCCCGCGTTCCCGCGCCTCCTTTCCTCCTGCTTCCCTGTGTTCCCCGAAGCCGCTATCCCTCGCCTTGACCCAATGGCCCCGATGATGCCCACAGGCCCGAGCTGTCCCGGGTCTCCTCCTCCAGCGGGCTCAGCGGGTGCCAGGTATGGCTCCCGAGGTGCGCGGGCGTCCACGGATCAGGTGACTGTGGGGAGTGCGGGAGTTGTTGCACCCATGGGTCGTTTGCAGGTCCGGGTCCCAGGAGCCCCGGGCGACAACTCCACGGTGCGCTGGCACAGGGCTCCTCAGGAGCTGGGGCGAGGGGGGGTCTAGGTACAGCGCGCGATCTGACCTCCTGGGGAGGCTGAACCGTCCTGGGGCGTCGGGGCCCTGGCCTCCTCTGGCAGAGCTCTCCCAGGTGTGCGAGGTCCCGTTTGCGGGAGGCGTTCCTCCCACTCCGGCTTGAAGGTGCAGCCAACACTTTTTTCTCTGTTGGATTTATCTTCTTGTCCTGATAGAACAATCCAATTCTCTCGATAAAATCCTAGCCGTCGCAGTGGCGGTGTTTCTTTAAAGATCATCCAAATATTTGAAAAATGGAGAAACCCCTGAGCGCTTTAAAACATAGGTTTTTTTATTGGTGACAGATGCCATTGTGTATCTTAAGGGTGTGGAGGGAGACATCGAGGGTGGAAAAGAGGGAGATCTGGTTACAGGGACCATCCAGGAGCTGGGGGAGCTGCACAAATGCTCAGGGTTAGAAGCAGCTGCCAAAATGGAAAGGTGGCCTCTCTGGCTGGCATCCGATGTCTGTCACACAACTTGTCCTAGGGGTAGGACTCCAGGAAGATGAGAAAGACTCTTCCTCTATCTCCACCAACACTTTTTTTTTTTTTTTTTAAAGAAACAAGTTTATTCTTTAATGTACAACAAGCTCTTCATTTCTAGCTGTAGGGAATCCCAGGGTCTGGGAGTGGAATCAGGGTCACCCAGGTCTTGGGCACACAGCTCACCTTTGCCAGATTTTGACACCTGTGGCCCTCCCCAGACACCTTCTATTTTAGCTCCTGGAGTTTCTTACTTGTTTCTGCTTGAAGTCTTGACCTTCCTCGCCCATCTCCTTGGCCCGCTTCTTGGGCAGTGTCAGGACTTCTTTTCACCTTCACAGTGGGACCTAGAACCTGCCTTCACCATGACACTTTTTTTTTTGTTGTTGTTACTGGGTATTGAACTCAGGGACACTCTACCACTGAGCTCTATTTTTAATTTTGAGACAGGATCCCCCTAATTTGTTGAGGCTGGTCTCAACCTCCCACTCCCTGGGATTAGAAGGGTGGGCCAAGGCACGTGGCTTGATAAAACACTTTTAAGCACAAAGATAAGGCCTTGGTTCTTTCCTGATTTTCTTCAAGCTCTGCCCACCCCACAGTCCCATCCCTAGGAGGAAAGGACTGAATAGTTTGAAGTACAAACATCTCTTCAGCCTCCTCAGGAGCACTGAGGAATGAGTAGGTGGCTGAGGGTTCAAGGTGGCCAGAGTGCACCGATCTATCCGGGTTTGCCTCAGAGTGGGAGGAATTAAGAATTAGGTTAAACCTGCATCTGAACATTACAACATTTAAGGAAATCCAGGATGTACCTGTGGAAGGTCTCTGTGGGGTCAAGTGTGAGGCTTGCTGAAGACATATTGGTAATCAAAACACAATGAGCCAGGCAAGGTGGCGCACATCTGTAATCCCAGTGACTTGGGAAGCTCAGGCAGGAGGATAGCGGGTTCAAGGACAGACTCAACAATTTAGTGAGACCCTGTTTCAAAATAAAAAGGGCTGGGATGTGGCTCAGTGAGTTATAGGGTGAGTATAAACTGTTTTTGTAGGGTTTTTTGTTTGTTTTTTGGCACCAGGAATTAAATTCAGGGGTACTCGAACACGGAGCCACATCCCCAGTGCTACTTTGTATTTTATTTAGAGACAGGGTCTCACTGAATTGCTTGGTGCCTCACAGTTGCTGAGGCTAGCTTTGAACTGGTGATCCTCCTGCCTCAGCCTCCCCAGCTTCTGGGATTACAGGCATGCGATACCACACCTGGCTTGTTTTTGCTTTTTTTTTTTTTGGAAAGGTATAGGCTTGAAATTCTTTGGAATCTATCTGATTCAAACTAAACTGGAAGAAAGCAATCTGTAACACTTGTTGAAGGGCAGATAACTTCCATTTCTCCATCCTTCTTTAAAATTCTGTCTAGGCTAAACAGCCAAAACCAAGGTTGTATTTGTTAATTATGGTCTTCCTAGATTTCTGCCTCCTGCCAGTGATCCTTGATTTAAACTGCCTGGTGCAGCATGCTGTAACTGTCATTTATTAGTAAATAACTGCTTTTTCTAGGGAAGTAACTTAACCAATGCACACACTTTTTTTTTTTTTTTTTTACAAATAAGGTACTTATAGAGCTGGGGATGTAGCTCAGTGATAGAGCACTGGCCTAGCAAGTAGAAGGCCCTGGGTTGGATCCCCAGGACTGCAAAAAGAAAAAAAGATACTTCTCAGTAATTGCAAGGTCCCTGGCTGTCATTAGTCTGCTGATCAGCTGTAGTTGTTGCAGGCCTCACTGTGGGGAAAGGGGCTGAGGTCTCTGAGCCAAGCTTTGGACAACAGAGGTCTTCACCAGGTCACGCCAGATCCTGAGCTTGTTATGAAGCTGACACATACCATACTTTACTCAGAACAGCTGCTACTGTGACTATTTAGAACACCTTCAGTGTCCACAGGCCCTGGGTTCCACCCCCAGAACTGCAAAAAGAAAAAACAAGAAAGTTAGACCTCTTGCCTTCTGCAAGGAACTCTAGAATTCATACAGCCGCTGCTAGTTCAGTAAGCACGTTACCCAGTCTTCCCAGTGACGTTAATAAAGAATTAAGTTTTCTCCAAGCAAATCTCACAGCAGAGAGCTGGCACCTAAATTCTTATTTAGTAATATTTCAAGGTGCTCAGGCCTCCATTGCCCTGTCTTAAATACCCCTGTGACGCCAAGGATTGGGGTAGTTTGGTAAGAACATGTCCTTGAGCCAGGGTGAGTCCATGGGAAGGAGCTGGGCAGGCGTGTTCCGATCTGTGCGTGATCTGAGCCTGGCGAGCCTGGTGGCAGCTCACCATCCCGACACTTGCTCCACTGCCACTAGCGCCTTGGACACTGTCCCCAGGGCACACAGACACCTCCCAGGAGCTGTCTGAGCCCTGTCTGTCTTCCCTGTGTGAGTGCACTGGCCCTCACCGCTTCCCTCCTTGGTTGGCATTCCTGCACACCCCTGCAGTCCTTTTGGCTCCGTCTGGTCTGTTCTCCCATGTGGGTCCTTCCTCTCCACATAACCCTGAGATGTGGTGTTGCCCCAGTCACATTGCATCCCAAGTGATCCTGGGTGACATCTTACCCAGCTTGGGCTGCTCCCTTATCACCAGAGACACCAAATACAGGCAGCTCTCCATACCCACCAGTGGGTGCCACATCCTAAGGTCTAATGACAGAAAAAAATATTTTAATAATTGCCTCTGGGGGTTGGGGCTGTAGCTCAGTGGTGGAGCGCTTGTCTCACACTTATGGGGCCCTGGGATCGATCCTCAGCATCACATAAAAATACTTAAAATAAAGATATTGTGTCCAACTACAACTAAAAACGGTATTTAAAATTGTATCTGGACTGAACATGCACAGATTTCCTTGTAATTATCCCTTAAACATTGCAGGATAACAAATATCAACATAGAATTCACAGTGTATTAGGCATGATAAGTGATCTAGAGATGATTTAAGGTGTAATCAAAGGATGGGCAGCTACGATGTCCTTTCATACAAAGGACTTGGGTGTCCTTGGATTTTGGTCTCTGGGGACCTAGGATACTGTGGGACAACTGTATTTTTCTCCTATGCACACCTTGACCTGGGCCCTCCTTCCCCGGCACCTTCAGAGGGAGGCCAGCACACAGCGTGGCACATGAAAAAAAGCTTAGACCAGGGGCAGGCCCGCCTTGCTGCAGTCCACTCACATCTTCTGTCACTCTGTGTCTCGTCACTGAATGTCACATTTTTTTTAAATATTTTTTTTTTTTTTTAAAGAGAGTGAGAGAGGAGAGAGAGAGAGAGAGAGAGAGAATTTTTAATATTTATTTTTTAGTTCTCGGTGGACACAACATCTTTGTTGGCATGTGGTGCTGAGGATCGAACCCGGGCCGCACGCATGCCAGGCGAGCGCGCTACCGCTGAGCCACATCCCCAGCCCCTCACATTTTTATAAGTTGGTGACTCCCTGCTTCCCTCAGGGAAAATGCAGGCTTCCTTCTGCCCCTCACCCAGGAGATGGGCCTTCACACAGTTTAGAAGAGCTTTCCACGAAGCCTGGCCTCTGTTACCCTCTTGATTTCCCCGAAACAACCTATTTCCTGAAATGGTTTCCTTATTATTTTTTATTTTCCCTTGAGATGACCTGTTACTTATTTTCCCTTGTGTGAGCTGTTTCCCCCCCTGGTTCCTGGGACTGTCAGGAGCCGCTCTCCCAGGAACCAGGGAGTGGCTGTTCTCATGGTGGTGGGCAGACGCAGGATTCCCATTGTCCCGTGTCTTGGTTTTTGGTGGCACTGGGATTGAGCTTCTGGCCCTGCACATGCTCCACCACTGAGCTGCGTTCGAGTCTCGGTGGTTCTATTTTCATTTTGACAAATTAAAACACAGGGGTGTGGTGGAAATAGCGACTCTGTTAGGCATTGTAATAATGGCCAGTGATATCGACTGCCTTGTATTTTCAGTAGCCAGAAGGCAGCTGGGTCAGTGTGTTGCCTGTTTGGTGGTGTGGCACGGTGGATCTTTAGCTGGAATAGCGTCAGTGCCCATGGGTGCCTGTTAGGTGGGTTTGGTGTGCGTGAAGCTCATTTAACCCCTTTGTGCGTCACACACAGGAGAGTCCTGGTCTCATCTAATCTGACCCTTAAACCACTCCGCCAGCCTTGGCAAGAATGCGGGATTTCATTTTCATGTCCTCAGTGGCATTTTCTGTTCTCCTGGGGTCTGTTCTCCAGCAGTGAGCCAGTTCTTGGGTAGGAAGTATTACAGGGAAGAAGAGCAAGGATTGTATGTCCTTTTATTTCATCAGCATGGTCATCCCCAGGGCAGGGAAGGCAGGGAGGACCACATGTGGTGGCCAGCACTTGCCAGATGGGCAAAGACAATAGGGACATTGAGTTCCTCAGCTGCGCTGTCCCTGGAGTGTGGGTGTCACAAGGAGGCAATACTGGGCCCCAGCTAACTAGGCCCCAGGTGTGCCCTTGGCCACCAGGGGGTGGGCCTGCCTGTCTCTGACTTTGTCCCTATCTGGGCTAGGTGCTGTAGGAAGGTAGGAAATGGCCTGGCAGGCAGGCCTGGCCTCTGAGGACAGACCCTGGAAGCCCAGGGGTGGCAGCAGTGACTTCTGGCTCTGGGGGAGAAGGCGGGCCCTGCAGGTGGAGTCCAGGGTCCCCTTCTCTGGAAGGGCTTCACCCAGTGGGCAGCAGCACTTTAGCATAGTCGGGGCTGGACCTAGAGCTCCATTCTGTGTTTGCTGCTCTGACCTCGACCTCCTTACCTGGTAGCCCAAGCCTCCGAGTCGTGGTTAGGTTGAGGACTAAGCCAGGTTCTGAGGGAGGGGTGAGGGGGTCATCCCCTTGGCCTGCTCCCTAGGTCACCCGAGACGAGGAAGTGTCCTGTTGGATCAGCAGCTGTGTCTCCTGCATTGCATTGCGTAACAGACACCCGTGCAGCTCCTCCAAATCGAGGTGAGAGGTGAGAGGCCGAGGGCCAGGCCCTGCTGCCCCGGTGTGGGCGCCTGCTCATGGGTCATCCTGATGAGGGCCCCGGTCCAGGAGCCCTGACGGGCACTTTCCTGTTGGCTTTGCTCTCTGGACACATTGTACAGCCACTTTACCTGGAAGGAAAGGGAGTTGCGGGTGCAAAGCAGAAACACTGGTGTACCCTAGAGCAGGTCTGCCAGCGGCTCCCTGGACTGGCCGGGAGCTGGAGCTCAGGGTGTGCTGGGACAAGACCTACCCCCCGCCCCCACCAAAGAGGAAAGAAGCTTGGCTGTGGACAGAGGAGGCACCCTGTCCTGTCTGTCCCTTTTCCTTATTATCCAGGTGCCCTGGAAGCTACTCTGACCCTCAGTTTTCTCATCTATGAGATGGGATGACCCTATGGGCATGGTGATAACTCTAGTTAGTATGACTAACGAGAGCTAGGGTGTTGCTGGCCATAGCAAGTACACAGGGGCAAGTAGTTATGAGGACTGTGGCACTGGCTGAGTACACTCAGAACAAACACTATCCTCTTGACTCCAGAAGGCCAATTTGTTGGCAAGACACAGAGATAAGGACAAACTCACACTATTATGGAGAACCTCCTGAAGGGGCTGATGGGGCTCCGTGCAGGAACTCAACCTGGCGGTTTCTGAGAGTCGGTTTATTACCATACGCTGGGTTTTCACCCACAAAGTCCTCGGTAGGTCATCAGCAGAGCTTCAAGTCAGACAACCTGTGATTTAAAGCGTGTGTTCTTAGCACTAAGTTAGGCATCATAGGAAATATGAAAAAGAAGCCTTTGTCCATGAGCAATGCCAATCTAGCCCGGGAAACAAGCATGGGTACCGTGTAAAGTGCTACCTTATAGGTGACGAGCGTTGGCAGCCAGTGCAGGTGTCCCAGGATTTGGGCCTCAGAGAGTTAATCTAGGCAAATTTGTAAGGGTTAGGAAGCAGCAAAGTGGTCACTTTATATCATCTACAATATTGTCCTAAAAATAAAGCCTGTATTTTGTTTTTCCAAATGTACCCAGATGAGTGTTTGTCCAAATATCTAGCCACTATTTGATCACCCAAAGTGGGTGGGCAAGGCTAGGGATGTGGCTCAAGCGGTAGCGCGCTCGCCTGGCATGCGTGCGGCCCAGGTTCAATCCTCAGCACTACGTACAAAGATGTTGTATCCGCCGAAAAACTAAAAAAAATAAATATTTTAAAAATTCTCTCTCCCTCCCTCTCCTCTCTCAAAAAAAAAAAAAAAGTGGGTGGGCACAGCTGGGACACTGATGGACACTGATGCTGGAGCCCAGGGCTGTGACTCAGTGCAGACATACTGGCCACGTGCAGGACCCTGGGCTGCATCCCAGCTCAGCAGCCCCCAGCCACCTAAAGCCAGTGACAGAGAAGAATCACGCTGCATGTGTGGCATGGAAGAGCTTTAGTCTAGCTTAGTGTTGGGCACATAGTTTTAATTCTTTGGAAAATGTGGTGCTTACTCCAGAGTGTCATGTGACACAGGACTGAAGATCTTTTCTTCTTGTTCTTCCAAAGAAAGTTATGATTGTGGCTGTGCTGTTCTTGGTTTATCCTAAGTTAACTTCAAAAACTTGATCGGTTGCTACAGTGACTGATATCTGTATCTTAAACATTTCTGGTATAGTCTTAATATGCAAACATGTGACTGTGTGTGTGTGTGTGTGTGCGTGTGTGTGTGTGTGCGCGCATGCGCTTAATCCTCTAACTCTGCTTAATTACTTTGTGGCTGCTAGGAATTGTTTTGTTGGAATTTTTTTTTAGCTCTGAAATCCATTCATATTAGTTAAATGTATTTTTCTTTTTAATTTGATGGCCTTAACATGCTTCTTAAGCCATTACCTCATAGACTTTCAACATTCTGGAAAAATAGGAATAAAGATGAAAATTTTTTAATTTGACATATTACTTGTTTCTTCCTTGGAGATGTATGTGTAATTTTTAGTAACTTGCAACCATTTTAATTTTTTTTAAAGAGAGAGTGAGAGAGGAGAGAGAGAATTTTTAATATTTATTTTTTAGTTCTCGGCGGACACAACATCTTTGTTGGTATGTGGTGCTGAGAATCGAACCCGGGCCGCATGCATGCCAGGCGAGCGCGCTACCGCTTGAGCCACATCCCCAGCCCCAACTTGCAACCATTGAATTTCTTTCTTTTTTTAATATTTATTTTTTAGTTGTAGTTGGACACAATATCTTTTTATTATTATTTTTTTTTTGTGGTGTTGGGGATTGAACCCAGGGCCTCACCTGTGCTAGGCGAGCTCTCTACTAGTGAGCCCCAGCCCCAGCCCAAATTTCTTTCTTTTAGTTGCAAATACTACAAGTGCATTTTCTATATGTACTTCAAACCTCTACTAAAGCCAGTTGTAGTGGTACATGTCTGTATCCCCAGCTACTCAGGAGGCTAAGGCAGGAGGATCACAAATTGAAGGCCAGCCTGAGCAGCTTAGTGAGGGCTTATCTCAAGATACAAAGGACTGAGGATGCAGCTCAGTGGTAGAGTACCACTGGGTTCAATCCCCAGTGCACACATATACACACAAAGCAATGTCAAAATTGTTTTCTTTTCGTCTCCACTTTCAGGCCCCTGACATTTATGGGATCGCAGACCAAGAAGGTCCTGCTAACGCCCCTCATGCACCCAGCTCGCCCTTTCCGGGTCTCCAACCATGACCGAAGCAGCCGGCGTGGGGTGATGGCCAGCAGCCTAAAGGAGCTCATCAGCAAGGTATCATGCGCCACAGCCACTCATGCCAGTCCAGAGAGGTGCCCTCGACCAGCTTGGGGCCAAGGACATGGTCCCACACAATGCCAAGACAGAAAGGTTGAGAAAGACCTCCTGTCTAGCTTGGCAGTCCCTCTCAGCCTCGAGAGTCTGAGGGAGCTGTTTCTAAGTGGGTAGGGCAGGTCCAAGTTGTCAGATGGGCGATTACTGTCACTGCACCAGGAAAGGTGAGGACACGGAAACTCAGAAGCTGCTGCGTTGACAAAGCGGCCTTGTTTCTTTGACCAGGGAGAATCCAGGGACTCTGGGGAGTCCGGGTTTAGGTATAAAAGCCAGGATAGAATAGTCCTTAGTTAAAACACTGACCTAGAGCTCCAAGTAAGGAAGAATCCCAGACTCCCAGCAAGTGTACCTCTAAGATGTCCGTGAGATGTTAAAGGAGCAGCTTCCAAAGAAAGGTTTAGACCTCGGGCCACCTGGGGCTACAGCTCTCACGACTTCACACCTGCTCTGCCTGTCCCTCCCAGGTGGCCATTGATCATGCACTTTCAGTGTGATCGCTTACCCTGTGTCTCTTAGGAAGAGGGTACCATTTAAATCTTAATCTCTTTCTCAAAACAAAGACTGACTCATGGACCTCAGTCAATGCATCTCTTTGCCATTACAATTTTATCTAAGCCAGGCCTGTGGACATGGGCATGTGACTATGGTGCGAGCTACTCAGGAGGCTGAAGTAGGGGGGTTGTCTGAGCCAAGGAGTTTGGTTCCAAGATTCCAGCCCTGTGTTCCCATCTCAAGAAAAATCACTTTATTCAAATCAGCCAACTCTCCTGAAAACTATGACATCACAAATGTCATTGGGTGGTCCAACGGGAATGTCCACTTCATGCCGTTTCTCTACCTCGCTGCCACCTAGACTCTGGATGCCCTGGTCATCACGGCTGGGCTGGTCACGCTGGTGCTGGAGGAGGACGGCACGGTGGTGGACTCGGAGGAGTTCTTCCAGAGCCTGGGAGACAACACACACTTCATGATCTTGGAGAAAGGACAGAAGTGGACGCAGGTAAGCCGTGACCCTGTCGTCTGGACAGCTCCAGTGGGCTTGTCCCTGCCCTGGCACTAACTTGCACTCCTTTTGATGCGCTGGGTTCTGTCTGCTAAGTGAATCCACTGCCCTCAAAGGGTTCCTGTGTGCCCCTGGGAAACTTGGGTTCGGTATTTAATTTAAAAATGTAATTCCAAGGAACAGGCTTTGGCCAGTGAATAACTACAGACCCTTCTAAAGCAACAGATGTGACCTGGTGACTGTAGATGGCCTAGTCCCCAGGAAGCAAGACACACTGACACAGCCAACTAAATGTCACAGTATCCATGATGATTGCTTTATAAAAAGGGAGATTTGACTTGGAGGCCAAGTTCATGACTTATTAGCCTCATTCCTCTGGACAAATGGAGGGGCATATCTGCTTCTGTCACCAGCCAGAGGGCAAAGAGAGCAGAGAGGAGCAGGTCTCAAGTCCCCCTCAAGGGCACACCCCGGTGACCTAAGGGCCTCTCCCAAGGCCCCACCACCTCAATAGCGCCACCTTGAGGACCAAATATTTAACATAAGGGCCTTTGGGAGCCGATCAAGGTCCAAACTATAGCAGCATGGATAGAGAGATTCGGCAAAGTGAGCCACAAAGGAAGCCTTTTATTTCTGGAAGCACCATAAATCATATATCTCAAGAACAATAAAATAGGAAGCAAGATATTAAAACATCTTCAAAATATTAAAACATCTAAGGAGAAATAAAGGGGCTGGGGCTGTAGCTCAGCGGTAGAGCACTTGTCTTGCATGTGTGTTGAGGCACTGGGTTCCATCCTCAGCACATAAAAATAAATGAAGCTATTGTGTCCACCTACAACTAAAAAATATATTTAAAAAAAAAGAGAGAAATAAAGCTGGGCATAGTCACCGGCACCCATGGTCCCAGCACTTGGAAAGCTGAGCAGGGGGGTCACTTGAGCCCAGGAGTTCAAGGCCAGCTTGGGCAACAGAGCAAACCCTGTCTCAAAACAAAAAAACAAAAACAAAAAAACTCAGAGGCCAACATGTTTGTGGGAGCCAGAGTCCAGAGAAGACAGAAACCACTGCAGCTGGTCCCCCCAGGACACCCCCTCCCCCCGTGGGCCTCCCCACTGGGGGTCCGTTGACCTCGGGGACCAGGCGCTTTAGTTTCAACAGATGCTGGGAGGACAGAAGAGAAAGACTGGGACTGACCCAAAGAGAGGTGAGGTGTGGATGGCCACTTGAAGCAGGGCGTCGTGAGGGTCTCTCCTGACCATCTGTGGCCTCATGTTGCCCTCCTAAGTGTTTAGGCCCTGCTGGTCCTGACCACTCCAGCCAAGAGAGGGGAGGAGGTCCAGATGGCCAGAGCTTAGTCACTGGATCGTCTTTATGCAGCGAGACCCTCCTGAGCCCCAGTGCTGGTTCCCAAGGTAACCAGCGGGAACAAATGGAAGGAAGGTTGACCCAGGCTGAAGGAGCCTCCGTTCCTGGGGTTCTAGCAAGGGGCGCTCACCACTCAAGCACAAAGCACAGGACAGAGCACTGTGCATCCACATGGGCCAGGCTTCCCTAGCATGCTGGGCTCTGGGCCCCTTCCCCAGCACCGCAGGGAAAAAATGAGCAGAAATGATGAAGTCAGAACTACCAAGATCTCAAAGCTGCATTCCTAACATACAAAGTATAACATTGTGTATTTAAAACTCTCCACCAGGTGCTGGGGCTGTGGCTCAGCGGTAGAGTGCTCGCCTAGCATGTTCAAGATGCTGGGGTCAATCCTCAGCACCACATAAAAACAAATAAATAAAATAAAGGTATTGTGTCCAATTACAACTAAAAACAGTATTTATTTATTTTTTTAAAGAGTGAGAGAGAGTGAGAAAGAGGGAGAGAGAGAGAGAGAGAACTTTAATATTTATTTTTCAGTATTTGGCGGACACAGCATCTTTGTCTGTATGTGGTGCTGAGGATCGAACCCGGGCCGCACGCATGCCAGGCGAGCGCGCTACCACTTGAGCCACATCCCCAGCCCTAAAAACAGTATTTAAAAAATAAAATAAAACTCTCCACCAGACCCAGTGATGCACATCTGTAATCTCAGTGACTTGGGAGGCTGAAGGAGGAGGATCACAAGTTAGAGGCCAGACTGGACAACTCAGCAAGACCCTGTCTCAAAAAGAACTAGGGATGTAGCTCAGTGGTTGGTAAAACTTCCTTGAGTTGAATCCCCAGTAACGCACACAAAAAAAGAAATAAAAGTAAAACTTTCCAAAACAGTTAAAAGATAAGACCAGGCACAATGGTGCATCCCTATGATTCCAGCTACCTGGGAGGCTGAGGCAGGAGAATCATAAGTTCAAGGCCAGCCTCAGCAACTTAGAGAAACCCTGCCTCAAAATAAAAAATAAAAAGGGCTGGGATGTGTCTCAGTGGTTAAGCACCCCAGGTTCAGTCCCCAGTAATGCAAAAAACAGAAAGAAACATTGTTTAAGAGCCACTATAAAAGAAATAAAACAACAGGCCACAAAGAGAGGAGGAGGTGGAGGTGTTGTTAACAAGACCCAACAGAGGACGATGATTCAGCAAATGTGAGGAACTCACGTAAAACAATTGTGCAAACAACCAACCATCCAGTTGCTCCACTGTAAGGTCATACTGTCAACTTTGGTACTAGACTGTTAAATTTTTTTCCCGTTTTTAAGATATGGGCAGCAAGTACTCCTATACTGCCACCCAGCGGTGTTACAAAGAATTTGCCTTGATCCCATAGAGGGGAGGCTCCGTCCAGGATGCAGGAACTCCATCCCGAGATGTGTGCTCCAAGACTGGTCCCACACATCAGTAGACCCATGCATAAGTGCACCCATGTCACCAGTGGATGACAGTAAGCATTGGAAGCAGGTCACCTGTCTATCACAGGAGAATGGAGATGCGTGTGCACACACACACACACACACACACACCTAGCAGTGTATCCCTGGGTAAATACACATGAATAAGCTGTTACACGTTTATTGAAAGAAATGGTCTTCAGCCATGCTATGGGGCTAGGAGTCACTCAGAGCACCTGCCTAGCATGCACCAGGCCCAGGGCACAAAACAAAAACTGAAAATGGGGGCTGGGGATGTGGCTCAAGCGGTAGCGCGCTCGCCTGGCTTGCGTACGGCCCCGGGTTCGATCCTCAGCACCACATACAAATAAAGATGTTGTGTCCGCTGAAAACTAAAAAATAAATATTAAAAAAAAACTGAAAATGTGTTCAGTACAGCTGTAGGCATCCTAGAATATCCCTCAACAATTCTGAGTGAAGACACAAGGAAAAGTACATTAAAAAAGTCACCCTCAAACCTCTTTTGACCTCAGGGTCCTCTGTGTTCTTAAAAATCAATGAGGATCCCAAATAGCTTTAGTTGGCTTATGTCAGTACAGTAAATAGACATCTGTCAATTAGCGGTTTTCACCTGATTTTTTTGTCCCCCCCCCCCTGCAGGACTGGGAATTGAACCCAGGGGCACACACACTGGTAATCACAGCAGCTAGGGAGGCTGAGGCAGGAGGATTGCAAGTTCAAAGCCAGCCTCCGCAATTAAAGAAATTAAAAATATATATTAATTCATTAAAATAATAACCCAATATAGGTTAACTTAAGCCACTTTTTTTTTTTTTTTTTTTTTTTTGGTACTGGGAACAGAACTCAAGGGTATTCAACCCCTTAGCCACATCTCCAACTCTTTTTTATTTTTTATTTTGTGACAGATTCTCATTAAGTTATTTAGAGTCTTGTTAAATTGCTGAGGCTGGCCTTGAATTTGCAATCTTCCTGCCTCATTTTCCCTAGCTTCTGGGATTATAGGCGTGTCCCACTGAGCTTGGCTAGTCACGTGTATTTATGAAAAGTTGACTATTTTCCAGCTTGGCTAGTCACGTGTGTTTATGAAAAGTTGACTATTTTCCAAACAAAATGAGAAGTGAAACTTTTTGTTTTTATAAATCTCTTTAATGCCTGGCTTAATAGAAGACAGCTAAATACTCGAATCCACTTTTGTATTCAGTTTGTTGCAATGTATGGTTTGGATGGAAGTCTGGCCTGACACTGATATGTAGTTGGAAGAGGGAGCAGGTTTTTAACAGATTTTTCATATCATTTAGGATATTCTTTGACACTGCACCAGAACTCACCAAGTGGTGGTTTCAGACAGGTTAGTTACAGTGTGGAGTCTCCTCTGTGGCACTGAGTCTGTCCGTCTTCCCTGCACTTTGAGAAGCTCCTTCTCCCAGGGATTATTTTGTAACACCATGCATTGGTCATTTAGAAAACATTGATTTGGGCTGGGCACAATGGTGCACACCGATAATCCCAGCTACACAGGAGGCTGTGGCAGGAGGATCACGAGTTTGAGGCCAGCCTGGGCAATTCAGTGAGACCCTGTCTCAAAATTTTAAAAAATATATATTTTTCTTGTTGTGCTGCAGTCTGGCTGGGCACAAATCACTGGGAGTTCACGAGCCACTTGTAGGTTCAAACAGGAACTACTTTATTGCCCAAACCCAATGGGAACTCTCTAGAACTCAACGGAAACTCCGCGAGAACTCAAAAGTAGCGGGCACCCGAGGTAGCAGGAGCCACCTTATTGCTGGACAGCAGAGGTTTATATACACAACTGAATACACAGCTTGCTTCAATTCAGCATCATCCAGTTGCAGCAATCAGTCATTATCTTAATAATTATACACAACCCAATTCCATTATCATCATCTTAATGGCTCGCTGGCGTTACTTCTCAACCACTCCTTCCGGCAAAATGCCAGGCGCCATCCTGACCTGTCTGTGGCTCTCAACATGAAAGGGCTGAGGACATAGTTCAGTGGTAGAGTACCCCTGGGTATCATCCCCAGTACATTTGGGGCTATCCATGTAGTGTTGTGGAGAATACAGGTTTAGTATGCACAAATCCCAGCACCAAAAAAGGAAAAAGTACTGATTGATTGAGCTGTGCTGTTTTCCCAGCGTGCAGTGGGAACCTTACTCCTGTGAGGAAAAAACAGGGCCTAATTGCATCACTGGTTTGACTGTGAAAATAGCTTTGCCCACTCATTCCTCTGAAAGGGTCTCAGGAGTGACCTCAGGGTGTTTCTATACTATCCTTCAAACCTATGCGTTAATCCATCCATATCATTTAAAATATGCAAAGTTAGCGGCATGATGTCTGAGATGCACAAAAACACACAGGACGGACAGGGAAAGGCAGCCTGCTCAGACAGCGGGCTCCCAGGGCCACGTTGTTTTGTTTTGCTTAGGTCTTCTATTCTTGTCAAGCTCTTCCTTCCTCCCCTGGAGGGGTGTGGCAGCCAGATGGACGGCCTCCACACGTCACCTCCAGCTCTAGAACCCAAGGCAAAGGGGCTCGGTGGAGGTGAGAAGGGAAGGGTCTTGCGGTGGGGAAGAGGTTGTCCTGGCCACCCCAGGGAGGCCAGTGTCAGCTTCAGGGTCCTTTTCAGGAGAGGCAGAGGAGGGACGGGGGTCGGGCCACAGCTGAGGAGGCTGGACAGGAGGGGAACCCGGCCTCTGGCAGCCTTCCTGCCTCCCCACAGCCTCCAGGATGAGCAGGCCCTGCTCCCTCACAGGGGCTTCCGTCCTCCAGAGCCCCAGGCCTGGAGTGTGCAGCTTCATCCCTGCTTCTCTGGTGCCTGACCTTGACAATGGGAAGGTGTGTGTGTTTGTAAAGGAGACACACACGGGGTGCCTGTGCAGGGCTGGGAAAGGGGACGTATCTAGGGTCCTGCAGTGGTGACCCAGGAAGCCACTGAGTTCCCAGGCACAGTCCCTGGGGATGTGGGCATGTCCCATCAAGGGCAGCTGAGGGCCTGTGGAGCCCTCTGGGGGTGGCACCCCGACACTCCCCGCAGAGCCTCCTCTCCACCTGCAGGGTGGGTGGGGCTCCTCACTGCCCTCACCCCTCCTACCTGCCTGTCAGGGTTTGGTGGACCAGATGAGGACCTCCAGCAAGCAGTGGCTGCCAGGTGTCCCCTCCTTGGCCTCTGGGCCTCAGGACCCTGAAGGAAGAGGAAGGCTCAAATTGTTTCTTTCTGCCTTGACCATCAGTGGGTCCTAGAAACTACGTGCCCAAGTTGGGCCATGTGAGTCAGTTCTGTGTGGACCTTTGGGTTAAGACCAACACCAGAGGAAGACATTTGGGGAGTTGATAACAGCTTCCAGAAGTCAGAAAGGAATCCGAGGCCATGAGCTGTGGCAGGAGGATAGGTTAGCACCAGTTTAAAACAGTATTCGCTGAGTGGGCGCAGGGGCACACACCTGTAACCCAGGAAACCGGGAGGCCCAGGCAGGAGGATCGAGGGTTTGAGGCTAGCCTCGGCAACTTAGCAAGATATGGTCTCAAAAAATAAAAAGGGTTGGGGATGTGGCTCAGTTGATTAAGCACACCTGGGTTCAATTTACAGTACCAAAAAATAACTAATAACAATAGTAATAACACTACTCCCAGATGAGGAGTAATTCGTTCTACCCCCAAAGGGCAGCTGGGCCTCTTGTGCTTTGAACATAGATGTCAACCAGAATCTCATCCCTTAGGTGTGGGACAGGGTGAAGGGAACAAGATGAATGACTGCAGCAAGAACATTCTGGAAGCTTTTAGTGGGATTTGTTTTCACCAGCCCTGTAGCCACAGCAGCTCTGCACACAGTGCAGCGGGTCTGGCCGTCCAGGTCCTCCCAAGGCCCTGCCCTGAGAGTGAAGGGTTACACGTGTGTGAGCGCAGTTGCAGTCGGGCTGCGGGTGGCTGAGAGAGACTTGGTTAGCTCAGGTGGTGACGGGTTTGAATGACCTTCAGGAGAGTCCACGAAGAGCACAGAAGGGAACACAGACCGGACCCGTGGAGCTGGAGCGTCACAGGGGGGAAGGCCCCTCACACCCCTCTTTGCCCTGCAGGGTGCTAAGTACGGCCCAGTCGGCAGGCAGCCGAAGAAGTCAGGAATCGCCAGAGTCACCTTCGACCTGTACAAGCTGAGCCCCAAGGACTTCCTGGGCTGCCTCAACGTGAAGGCCACCATGTATGAGATGTACTCGGTGTCCTACGACATCCGCTGCACAGGACTCAAAGCCATGCTGAGGTAGGACGGGATCCATCTCGGGAGTCTGCACATACTGGGATCCCTGGGGGCCTGTCCTTGCCTGCTCCTCTGTGCTCTGCCTGCTGTCCCTCTGCTGTCCCAGGTGCTCCCCAGCCTGCCTCTCTGTGCTCTGCCTGCTGTCCCTCTGCTGTCCCAGGTGTCCCCAGCCTGCTCCTCTGTGCTCTGCCTGCTGTCCCTCTGCTGTCCCAGGTGTCCCCAGCCTGCTCCTCTGTGCTCTGTCCTGCTGTCCCTCTGCTGTCCCAGGTGTCCCCTGCCCTCGGTCCATTTGGAGCACATTTACATCCAAGCCAGACTTGCTTCACAAAACGCAAAATAAACCCAGAACAGATTTTTCTCCCTCCAAAGACCATAACCCACATGCCCCATCATCCTATCCAGGGGGCACCTGGAAATCTATAGAATTTTGTAGAACAGCCACAATGCCACTGTTCCTGTTGCTTTTGCACCTGAGACAAGGCAGCTCATCCTCAGGGAGCCCCTGACGGGGAGGCTGCTCACTGCCTGGTGACCGGGAAGTCAGGACTGGGAGAGGTGCCCTGAGGGGCACTCCAGCGACCTCACCTCCTCCACCACCTCACCTCCTCCACCCCGCTTCCCATGGGTTCCTCAATAGCATCGTGGGGAAATCATGCCTTTAGCAGGTGGGCTTCAGGGGACCCTCATCCAAACTGTATTGTGTGTGTTCAGAGGGAGCCTCAGAGTGGGTCCTTGAATGAGAGGGACATCGACAATACCTCCTGAGTAAGCAGCTTTGTGACCTTTCACAGGTTACTTAACTTCTCTGAGCTTCCACCTCATCATCTTTAAAATGAGAACTTTTTTAGGATCACGCAGGCTCAAGTGCAGCCACCTGTGCTCTTCTAGAACTACACTGTGATCTCGTGAAAAACTGAGTCCTGGCCAGGTGCTGAAGCCTGTCATCCCAGTGACTGGGGAGGCCGAGGCAGGAGGATCATGCGTTCAAGGCCAGCCTTTGCAACTTAGTGAGGCCCTGTCTTTAAAAAAATAAAATATTAAAAGGGCTGGGGATGTGGCTCAGTGGTGGAGCACCCCTGAGCTCAACCCCGGTACCACAGAAGAAAAAGAACAAAGGAAGAAAGAAAATAGAAACCTCCATCAGAGCGTAGCCTGTGGAGGGCGGGGGGGGGGGAGGCTGAGCAGTGGCTGAAGGTCTGGGGGGTTGGAGTCTCTGCTGGGCCTCCCTGCTCTCTGCACTCCCCGGACAGGCCTGCTGTGGACTCTGAGGACCCAGGTTCCCTCTCTGATCTACCTTGAGCACTGGGCCAGGAGAGGGGCTTGAGACTCCACCTGCTCCCCTCACCCCGGCCCCTGCGCGAGGCTCCCTGTGGTCCATCAGCGGCCGACCCCCAGGCTGTGTCCCTCAGTAGTGGTGAGATCTTGGCTCCCAGGAGAGACGGGAGCAAGTGGGTGTTTGGATTTTTAAGGTGGGAGAATGATGGAGAAAATGGGCCTCACCCAGACCCCACCTCGAGTGACAAATTCATCTCCTTGTTGCTTTTTTTTTTTTTCCTTTTATAACTGGGGCACTCTGCCATTGAGTGACACTCCCAGCCCTTTTTATTTTGAGACAGTCTCACAAATTTGCTGAGGCTGGCCTTGAACTTGCCATCCTCAGCCTCCTGAGTCACTGGGATCCCCCGCGTGGCCACCGCGTTCTCCTCTGTGGTGATTCTTGTCTTCTGATAGCTCTTAGGGCACCACAAGCAGCCACAGCTCACCAAAGCCTTCATGTCAGAGGCGTCACCTCCCAGGGGTAGTGGGCCCATTCCCAGGGGACAGATTCAGCCATGGCCAACCTGCTGCCATTTTGTGAGGTGATGGGATTTTAAAAGCTGGATAAAGTCCTTTCTAGTTTGGGGCCAGGCAGAGAATAGGAACTCCACTTATGTTTTTTCTTTCCTTCTTTCTCTCTCTCTCTTTCTTTTTCTTTCTCTTTCTTTCTCTCTCTCTCTCTCTTTTTTCTTTTTCTTTCTCTTTCTCTCTGTCTCCTCTCTTTCTTTCTCTTTTTCTCTCTTTCTCTCTCTCTTTCTCTTTCTTTCTGTCTCTTTCTCTCTCTATCTCTTTCTCTCTCTCCTTCCTTCCTTCCTTCCTTTCTTCCCTCCCTTAGAAGCCAGGGCAGGGCCATGTCTGTCCCTCCCAGTAGCTATGGGACAGCCTGTATTGATGAGTTGTGGCAGGTCCTAGCCCACTCAAGATACTGGTGGCAGGGCCACAAATCCCGTGTCCTGAGGCTCCCTCTTGTCCTTCCTTCCCCTACACCTGACCCGAGGGAGTTCAGCAAGGCCCCACCTCCTCCACGGCTGCTGGGACAGCCCGGGAGCCTGGAAGTGGCCACTGGCCGGCAGTGCTGTTAGGTCCTCAGGGGAGGCCCCACGCCCGACATGTTGCATCTTGCTCTGTTGCAGGAGTCTTCTGCGGTTCCTGTCCTACACCGCCCAGGTGATGGGACGGTTCCTCATCTACGCAGGCACTTACATGCTCCGAGTCCTGGGAGACACAGAAGAGCAGCGTTCTCCTAAGTCACCCACCAGGGGCTGGTTCATGGACAGATAGACACCGCCGCTGGGGCCCGGCCAGCCTCTGGATCCCAACATGCCCTTCCAATGACAAACTCTCCAAGATGCTCTTGTGTTATTTGTCACATGTGCCTGTGCTGCTGGCCACTGCTGCTTGGGAGTGACACAGGGAAAGGGCAAGCTCAACACACCTGGTCTGGGGTGTGCAGCAGGACACCCTGGATGGAGGGGGCAGGAAGGGACCAGGGGGTTGTCTGGGAGCACGTGTGTGCAGCAGACCCCTGGGGCCTCGCCTGCTGCAGTAAACCCATCACACACAGGGACATTCAGTATGTGGAGTGGTCACTAAATGTCCCCAGGGGGGTGAACGGCCAGGGCCTCCGGCAGAGGGGCTGCTCTTAGTCTCTGGATACGAGGTGCTAGGAGCTGTCAGATGTATGGGGTTGGGGTTTGTCTTTTTCCTTAGAAGGGGGTCTTCAGTGAGTCCTGGCAATTGGGGGACGGGGTTCAAAGCTGGAGCCTCTGACTAGAGGCCTTTAAGCAGCACTTCCAGAAACAAAGGAAACTCAGAAACAAACAAAACTGCTGGACACCTACCCTGGGTGCCTGGCGCTGCGCTGTTCCAGGGCAGGACACTTGGTGGCCAGGCAACGCTCTGCCTCGTGCTGCCCAGGGCCAGGGAGCAGCACAGCGGGACACAGGCACCCGAGGACCTTGTGGGGATCAGCTCTCCCTCCCCTGGTCCCTCTTTCCTTCCGGTTGGCTCCATCTTCTGATGCACCTTCCTCCGTGGAAGCTGGGTGTCCATGGGGCCCCCCTGCCCAGGAAGCTCCAGGCTGCACCTCACCCCACCTAGCAATCCTAGCAGAAGGAAATGGGGTGCTATTCTTGGAAAAAAAGGGGCGCAGATCCCTGGAGACAAATTATGCCTGTACTCCCAGGTGCTTGGGAGGCCGAAGCAGAAGGATTGCAAGTTCAAGGCTTCCTGGGCCGCTTAGTGAACCCTTGTCTCAAAATAAAAACTAAAAAGGGCTGGGGTACAGCTCAGTGCAGAGCACCTCTGGGTTATATTTGTGAGGGGAGATCTGTGACTTTCCTATAAAGAAAAGTCCAAGGCCATTTTCCTTTCCTGGCTGCCAGCTCTGGCACAATGAACACCACCAAAGGTGCCTGAAACCCAAGAAGCAAAGAGCCCCATCCCTGCTGCTCAGACTTCCTGCCTCCCCGCCCTGCACCTGCACTGTGTCCTTGGAGAAGCAGCCAGGAACCCACAGGGGGGGTCCAGGGGGCTTCCTCCTCATCCTCCTGGAGGGGCAGCCCAGCCCCCACTTCCTGTGTGCTGCTGGAGGCCGTGGGAGGAGGGCAGGTGTTGCAGATGCAATCCCTGTGCTGTCCCCTTTCAAACCTATGAAGAGCAGCTCATTGAGCCTCCCTAGGTGGCCCTGTGACGTCCCTGAGCAGGGACAGGAGCCCCTGCCTGTGTGTGTCGGGGAGTTGAGGAGGAGGGCTCCCTCGCCCTGCCCCTCGGCTCTCGCTGGCGTCACTTCCCAAAGATTCCGCCCTCCTGAGAAGTGACTGCCTGCTTTCCAAAAAAGGAGCTTTCCTCCAGTGCCTGATCCTGAGTCAGCCCCGCTCCTCCGACCTGGGCCTTCCTGTTCCTCCCTGAGTCCCCACAGCGGGGAAGCCAGGGGCTGGGCGAAGGCGGGAGAGAAGGGGCTGGGGGATCTGGGGACCCTTGTGCTGGGGCTTCTGAGGAGCCACAGCCTGCCTTCCTCTGGCTGCAGAGTCTGTGGTTTCCTGGGATGACCCAGATGAGCCTCAGAGGCTGCAGACCCGAGGGGAAGCTGAGGGGCTCCAGGCATGTCCCCACCATGTGACCAGCAGGACAGATTCAAGGAGCACACCAGGGAGGCAGAGTGAACTGGTCTAGAAGCTGTCACCTGGTCAAAGCCAGGCTCTGGAGCAAATGGCCCCGCTGCAGAGTGTGGTCCCTGCCCAAGTCTCTCTCAGGTCTGTACAACTAGGGTGAGACCAGGGGGCCCAGAGTGCTGGATACAGAACGGTAGCCGAGCCCTCTTGGTCAACCCGGTTCTGTGCTTTACTGGCCCTACAGGAGACATCTGTCCCCACCAGGCCACCTCAGGGACACCCTATGGCCTTTCCAGACCCAAGATCCCAGAGCTGGGATTCTGTTTCCTGTAAGTTCTTCCTCCTCACGCAGCCAGACCTGTCCTCTCTTCCCTCCAGAGCTGCCGCTGTAGGGGTCCGACCTGGCCCTGGGGACACTGGTCTTCCATGTGAGCTCCCACAGGGTCCAGCACACCTGGGATCTGCTTGCACTGTGGGGGCTGTACCCACGCAGGGGCCTCCCATGTGGCTCTGCTCATCTTGTGTCACTAAACCGCACGGAGAGAAAACTGGCAGCATCCCTCTCCTTTCTGTCATCCCCTCTGGGACCCTCCTTGCCTGCCAGTTCCCTTCAGCTCTTTGCGCTGGTTCTGTCTTTGGAACCACCCTCAGATGCACACATGCACACACCCTGGGACCAGGAAGACACTGCTCAGTGTCCCTCCCTCCTAATGCCCTCCAGCTTGTGCAGCCAAGTGGAGCCTCAGTCCCTGCGCTGTGGTAATGTGTGCGTGACAGTCCAGCTGCAGGTCTGATTGGCAGGGCACAGCTTTACCTGCCAGGTTCTCTGCGCTGAGTGGTCTCCCTGCCTCACACCCTGGGACCTCTCAGGCCAGCATTCTGGGGGCTCAAGTACAGAGGCTCTGGGGGACACTGTTTGACCCTCAGGACTCCCCTTTGTACCCCTGACCATGTGCTTTGGAGGCCAGTCTGTGAGGGTCCCTGCCACATCCTCCTCACCCCACGGGGTCAGAGTCAGGTCCTCCCTGTTCTGCCAGAGGGACACATCCAGGCACAAGGCCCTGTGCTATTGATATGATAAGAAATGCATATTTGATCTCTGCCCTGTCCTGACCCAGAGCTCCTGACCCTTATGGGCAGTGGCTCTAGGAGAATCTTTTGCACTGGTGTTTGGCTTTGGCCTAGGCTCCTGACACAGCTTGGGTTTCCCTGGGTGATAGGAGCATCTTCTGTTCTAGAGGGGACGCTAAGTGGCTCCGTGACAGCCTCAGGGTGGGGCTCAGCCCACCATCTGATGAGAGGGTTGGGGTGCTCAGCCCTGCCCCCAGCCCCAGGAAGAGGAGGGGGCTGAAGGGTGAGTTCACCCCTCTGGCCAGTGAGGGATAAACCAGGCCTAAGTAGAGAAGCTCCCCAAACCCCAGAAGCACAGGGCCTGGTGGCACCTAGGCTGGCTCCTAGCTTGGCCGTTGTGAGCTGTGCTGCCCTGGATGTGGGCATGGCTGAGTCCCTGTAGCACAGCGACTTTAACTCTTCAGGATAAAACAGAGCAGCATAGGCTGGCTGCATCCTCTTCCTTCCACGTTTGTCCTCTCTTGCCCCAGCCTACTAGACAGTACCACCCACATCCAGAGCAGGTTTCCCCGCTCAGTTTTCTGTCCCACACACCTGTCGCCTCTGGAAACACCCTACGGATACCCCAGAAGTGTGTGGCACTAACTTTCTGGGCAGCTCTCAGTCTAACGAGTCAGCAATCAAGAGTCACCATCACACATGCCTAGGCACAGTATTCAGGTTTTGTTTTTGTTTTGTGTTTTTGGCCACTGGGGATTGAACCCAGGGGTGCTTCACCACTGAGCCACATCCCCAGCCCTTTTTGTATTTTATTTAGAGACACGACCTCACTGAGTTGCTTAGAGCCTCACTAATTTGCTGAGGCTGGCTTTGAACTTATGATCCTTCTGCCTCAGTCTCTAGAGCCACTGGGATCACAGGCCTGTGCCACCATGCCCAGCGGCTCAATATTTCATCAGCGTCAGTGTTGCTGAGAAGGTGTCCTTTGGATGTGATTAACACCTAGTCAGTGGACTCTGAGTGAAGTAGGTACAGCTGGGTCTCATCCAATCAGCTGAAGGTCTTTTTTTTTTTTTTTTTTTTTTTTTTTTTTTAAAAGAGAGAGCGAGAGAGGAGAGAGAGAGAGAGAGAGAGAGAGAATTTTTAATAATTATTTTTTAGTTCTCGGCAGACACAACATCTTTGTTGGTATGTGGTGCTGAGGATCGAACCCGGGCCGCAGGCGAGCTCGCTACCGCTTGAGCCACATCCCCAGCCCCCAGCTGAAGGTCTTAAGAGAGAAGACTCACCTCCCCACATAGAAGTCCCACCAGAAGACAGCCTGCAGGCCTGAGCTGCAGCCTCAGCACTTCCCTGGTCCCCGACCTGCTGGCCAGCCCTGCAGACTTCAGACTGCAGCTCCCATGTTACAGACGATTTCTTCATGTACCCTCTGTGTGCGCCCCTGGGTTCTGCTGGCCGGAGAACCCGTTTGAGCCATGCTGTGCCAGGCATGGACATCGAGACGCCTCCACTGCCAGCTGCACCTCAGCTCCCCAGTCTTCAAGGGGGGGTTCCGGGACCCTGCACCTAACCCCGGCTCAGGACCAGGAGCTGACTCTTCCAAAGCCACTCCATCTTTGCTGAGGGGACTCAGGCGCTCCCTCCTCCAGCAGCCCTTCCCAGCTTAGCACCCAGCCAGGGGAGCTGACAGGAACCAGGACAACCAGGAAGCCTGGGCTGGCAGCAGGGAGCCTGTGCGCACCACACAGAGGCTGTGGCCTCGCAGTGGCCACTCCACTCCAGGGGCTCCATGCTGAGACCTGCTGCCTCACCACAGGCCCAGAGCAACAGGGCCAAGCAACCACAGACCAAAGCCTCCAAAACCATAAGCCAAGGTAAATCTCCCCCCCTTTAAGTGGATTTTCTCAGGTTTTTTTGTCATAATGACTGAAAGCTAACTAATACCACTTCTCATCATGGTCATGATCCCTCAGAAGGCGACATGGCAAGACCATTAAGGTGGGCTGTCCTTTGAGCCACATACCACCACTGGTCTCAGGATTATAGTAAGATCTACAAACAATTCACCAGGATCTACCTAATTCACCAGGATTCACTCCAAATTGTAATTTGCTTTAGAAAAAAAAAAATCACCTCTCTCCTCAAAGAATAAAATGTGGCAAGTGAGGGCACTGGGATGTCACCTCAGCAGAGTCAGAGGCTAAGGTGTGCTCAGCGGAGATGCTGAGTGGTCAGGACCCTGGTGGTCTGCAGCTGTTGGCCTACACACTCAGGAGTGAGCCTTGTAAAGGAGGCTCATTCCACTTGGGCACAGATTTGCTAGTTTTTGTTTTTTTTTTAAAGTCAAATGTCTAGATTCCTGAAACTTCCATTCATTTGAGTAATAGAAAGAAATCCTCTCTATTCCCCAGGTGGCACCTTTAATGCAGGGTCACA